ACAATCAGGGGGCAGCTCCACCAGATATGTGTTAACGTACCCACGCCCGTTTGACACCTCCAACAAGTGTCTGGGAGGGAGGGGAAAATCTGGTGCATCCTAGCCGGCGCTCTGTACCATCTAGTCAAGAGTTTGTAATTGCGTTCCTGCACCGCAGAGGACACACAGAGACCATGGGTGAAGCAGAGGCATTTTCGCCTCTCCTCCTCGGAAAGAACCACGCCCAATTCCCGCTCCCATGCTGAGATGAAGTACGGGGATTCTCTTCCGTCCCCAGAAAGTAGTAAATCATACAGAAACGAGATAAGGTGGGGTGGAGATTCTCCTGCTACACATAGTTGTTCAAATGCTGACAGGGGGCCAGGAAAGGGAATGGGAGTGGAGGGAGGGAGAAAGGGGACAAAAGGGAGTGGGCTTTGAAAGGGGAGGGGGAAGGGAATGGGAGGGGAGGGAAGCGGGGAAGGGAGGACAAGGGGGAAAGGGAGGGAGGGGAAGGTAGAGAAAAAAACAGTAAAACACAGAGGTCAGTGGTAGCAGGCGACCCTGGGCCGCTCCACGGCAAACAGTAGGAACTAAGTAAGGGATTGAGTAGCTCTGGGGTGGGGCAGGTCTGGGTATCTCCTAGGAACCAAAAAGGGAAGGGGGGGTAGTCCAGAGAGGGGCATCATGTGCCAGCGGTGATAACAGGCTCCCAAGACCCAGCCAGTTCTGAGGCTCAAGCGCCAGTCTAAGGGTCACACAATCCCAGAGCAGGAGTGGAGCAGGGGATAACCGGAACCAGTAGCCTCCAGGTCAGGAATAAAATGTCCGCTGTGCAGCAAAAGGAGACATCGGAGGTGTACCCTGTAAAGGGGATTGATCACTGCCCCTCCGGCCTGTCCGTTCAGGGCGGGGGGGTAGGGGTGGATGTGGCCTCCTGTCGTCTGCGTCGGCGTTTCCTCTGGGACTGGGCCGGGATCCATGCGGACTCAGGGGGCGCAGAGGCCCAAACCGGCGATGCTGGATCAGGCCATCCCTCCAGGGTCACCGATGGGAGTTGTAGAGCCCGAAGGAAGCCCGGAAGATCACTTGGTGTGCGGAGGATGTGTGACTTGCCATTCTGTCGGGCCACTAGATGAAAGGGATAGCCCCAGCGGTAGGCGATGTCCCGTTCCTGTAGCATCAGCGTCACAGGCCGGAGGGCCCTGCGTCTGGTCAGCGTGTTGCGGGACAGATCAGGAAAGAGGGTAATTTGGGCTCCATCAAAGTCCAGCGGCCCGCCCTCCCGGGCCTTCAACAGAATGGCCTCCTTTTGTTGAAAAAAGTGCACTCTGCACAAAACATCCCTGGGGTGCTGCTGAGCCGGATTACAGAATCCCGGCACCCTATGCACCCTGTCCAGCTCAATGGGATGGGTAGGGGAATTGCCCAGCAGCGTGTTAAAGATTCCCTGGACTGTTGCTTTGAGGTCAGACATACCTGTGGCCTCAGGAATGCCGCGCAGCCTGATATTGTTGCGGCGATGTCGGTCTTCCTGATCGTCTAGCTGCAGGCTCAGGTGTTGAAGGAGATGTTGGTTGCTCACCTCTCCCTGTAGTTGCTGAACGGAGTGGGAGACAGCTGCAGCCTGTGTCTCTACCACTTCTAGCCGCTGCCCAAAACCGGCCATACCCTCCCTGAGTGCCGCCATGTCTCGGCTATGAGATGCCTCCAGGCGGGAGAAT